AACGGACGGTGAAGAGACAAGCTTAAATGCCCCCCCCGGAGATGCCTCGGTACTTGGCGACATCCCAGGGCAGCGGAAAGGGCGGCCCCCCCGCGCGCGGGGCTCCTTCCGGCGATTGAGTTCTCACTTCTCAGCCCAGCGATTGCAAACCTCTACAGTGCAAGCTGGAAGCTCCGGAGCTCCAAAGAACCAATTGAACAGCGAGAGAGCAGCTCCGAGATGTCAATTGGGACTCGGAAGGAACACAGACCACTCCTTGCTATGATTGGATTGCTTGGAAATACAGGTCATTGACGATAGCAGCTTATCAAGCCAACAACTGAACTGAACAATGAATGGCGCAATTGCTGGGCAACCATCACCCACAGCATCACCACGACAATACAACACAACAAACAACACCGCTTGACTACAAGTAGGTAGTATTTAGACCCATGAAACAGCCTCCTTTTTGGCGGTGTCTGAGTGCATCATGATCCGAGGCAACAAATCCCAGGAAGCAGCCCACAGGGGCGGATCGTACACTAGGCCGTGGCCGCTGGAAAGTCTCCGAATCGATTGCCCCACGTCACCATTTCTTCATGATTCCAATCGTCCCATCGAAAACGTGCTTTATCAGCAAAACTGTCTCCAGTCGATCCGAGCAATGTCCCCACTGTTGACGCTGTCCACCGTGTGTTCGGGCCCTTCTTGCTCTTGTTGATATAAATCCCATGGTCCAGTCTGTTTGGTGTCTGTTCGTCGCCCTTTTCAAAACCACCCCGACAAAAATCACACACACAACACATCAAAATGGCTCCCACCCACAACAAGACTCTTGTCTTCAAGAAGATCCCCGAGGGATACCCCGTCCCCGGTGAGCACCTCGTCGTCGAGGACCGTGGCTTCGACCCCGATGCCGCTCCTCCCCCGGGCGGTATGACCGTCTCCATCCTCTGGGCCTCCTTCGACCCCTACCAGCGCGGCCGCATGCGTGACGCCAGCATCAAGTCCTACGCTCCCGCTTACCAGCTCGGCGGCCCCGTCACCAACGACACCGTCGCCAAGGTCCTCAAGTCCGACAACCCCGACTACCAGCCCGGTGACCTCGTTGTTGCCCACCTGCCCATTGCCGAGTATGCCGCCCTCACCAAGACCGAGGTCGGCTCCGTCATGGGCGGCATCGTCGGCCAGGTTGTCCAGACCAAGATCGACAACAAGTACGGCTTCAAGGACCTCGGCCTCTTCCTCGGTCCCCTCGGCATGCCCGGTCTGACCGCTTGGTCGTCGTACAAGGAGATTGGCCAGCCCAAGGCCGGCGAGACCATCTTCATCAGCAGTGCTGCCGGTGCTGTCGGCCAGGTCGTTGGCCAGATCGCCAAGCGCGAGGGCTTGAAGGTTATCGGCTCCGTCGGCGCCGACGAGAAGCTCGACTTCATCATCAACGAGCTCGGCTTCGATGGCGGCTTCAACTACAAGAAGGAGAAGCCGCTCGATGCCCTCAAGAGGTTGGCTCCTCAGGGTATTGACATTTACTACGAGAACGTCGGTGGTGAGCACCTTGACGCTGCCCTCGAGTGCCTCAACACGTTTGGTCGCATTGTCGCTTGCGGCATGGTGAGTTTTCTTTTTCTTCGTTTCCCCCTGCTTCCTTATTCCACTTGTACTAACCGCAATTGTCACCCAGATCTCCCAATACAACGTCAAGCCCGGAGAGGCCTACGGCGTCAAGAACCTCATCCAGGTCGTCGCCAAGCGCCTCACGATGCGCGGCTTCATCGTCTTCGACAAGGACTTTGGCCCCAAGTACGCCAAGGAGCACCAGGAGCAGCTCTCCAAGTGGATCGCCGAGGGCTCCGTCAAGTTCAAGCTCCACATCACCGAGGGCATCGACAACGCCCCCAAGGGTCTTGTCGGTATCTTCAAGGGCGAGAACTTTGGCAAGGCTGTCCTTCACATCAAGGATGAGTAAATTTTTTTCTCTCTTTTAAAAATAACAAAAAGCAAAAGAGATGGATGGATGGATGTATTATACCCGCCGCTAGCTATGTAAATTGTAATTGCTAGTTTATGAATGAGAAAACAATTGAAAGAAAACAAAAAATCATGAAAGGGTCAAAGATGTGTGTCGGGTCGTGTCGTGTCGTTGAAATAAGGTGTGTGACGCAAGGAATGGTACCGAATGCGCCGGTGGCGTGCATGCTGACTGCTGACAGCAGAAGTAGTGTAACCGTTGTTGGTCCATTGACGCCGAAGTTATGTGTGGTCTTTGTGTTACGCCAGATCGATCCCGTCTGACATTGGATGGCAGCCCAAGCCAGCGGCGAATCCTATGGCATCGCTTGCCGTTGATATCCGATGGTTACAGTAAGCATGCACAAGTTGTTAAAGAGATCCTGGTGATGACCGACCAAATACGGGAACCCGAGGAAGAATCGAACTATGTACGGAAGCTATCGGAGTTTCATGCATCCGCGGGCATCTATATGTACATCAAAGCCCTTTTTGTCAACCAAATTTATTAGAGAATATCCAACATCAACAACGCCTTTTCATGCGACCATCCAATTTATTCCTCCCGCCCTTTTTAGAGGTTGAACAGCGCAACACCAACGAATGCCATGGATCAAAGCGGCAGCCACACTACCAACTCCGTCCAGAAGCACAGCGATTTTTTTTTTTTTTTTTTTTTTTGTCACAATCATCTCCATTACCCGTCTCATCACCTAATTAGCCTTTCCGAAACCAGAATCGGGGCTTCCAGAATCCAACCATTGTCATCCCCGGCATATACCAATGTACTTATGCTCTCAACAACGAACCAAAAACAGTCGCATCATTGAAAATTAGATAGATAGATAATCTGTTTCTCATCCCGTTGACACTTAACATACAGTCATGTCTCTTTGCTGGACACACAACGATACAACAAAGCCAAGAAAAAAAAAAAAAAAAAAAAAAAAAAAAGAAAAAGAAGAAGAAAAAAGAAAAGGACATTTTAACAAGTCCAACTATCAGAACTAAGGATGCTCAATCCCAAGTAACCTCTTCCTCTTCTTCCTCCTTCCCCTCCCCCCACCTCTCTATGCATGTCATTTCAATTCTCTTCTCCCTTCCTGTCCTTCTTCGGAAGGTATGCAGTTCCCTTGTTCACAGTCCACTGTCCACTGTCCAGGGATGAATAAATACCAACCGTTGATCTGCCGGGCTGCCTCGGACCTGCTCCGGACTTGCCCCAAACCTGCCACAAACCTAGGTGTAGTGTAGGTAATGTGCAAGACGAAAGGACAATGCCCTGATGTTCTGCAAACTACCCCACTCAATTCGGACTACCAGCCAAATCAAACGATTCAGATCTTACTTCTTCACAGCAGACAGCGAGCCCTTGAATGTGAAAGTGCACCCTGAAAGATAGAAGTCTTTTGATAGGACTGGATTGCAGACTGCGGAGATAAAGGTCGTAAATAGCTAGGTTGTATCGTTACTGTTGTTACCTAGTCTACGCTTGTCATGGCTTCGTTCAGAGTCGTTCTTTCAGTTCTGGTTTCTTCTGACCTTGTCTATGTGTGTGCCAGGTATAACGGGCTCGAAGATCTGAAAAAGGTGAGGTCGTGGTAGGTAGGTAGGTAGGGAGGTAGCCATAGTCCATCTTGGGTTGGTTGAGATGGGATTTCTCTTTATTTAGCAAAGTGAGGACCCAGAGGATGATGAGAACGGCGATATACATGGAAGAGGGTTCTGGGCGCCACAAGGTCGTAACTAATGGAGGCAGTATTCCTGTAAGCGAGGTTCACCACGGCGGTACAGTCACACTGTATGTTGCGTTTATGCTATGGAAGCAAAGGGTATCTCAGCCAATCACCTGGCGCCGTGCTCTGTGTGATGGCGGAGGGGTTGTCGTTGACTTTTATGGGAAATAACTAGAACTGTATAAGTGTAGTGTGTGTGTGTCCAACGATGGTTGCATACGGGCGGCTCAGAGGTGGCTGATTGACTGACAACATGGGAAGGAGGAGTGAAGGTTTGGGGAAGTGAGTCTTCATTGGAAGCCGAGAGGTCGCAGGAAGGACTGAAAGGTGCCTGCGTTCGGCGACGGGAAGATCCGCGCCCGTGGTCCCTGCAGTGATTTCAGTTGCCGTCGTTTGGGTCCTGCCGTTCGTGATCACGGACTTCATTCTTGCCGATGCAAGTACACGTGTAACGACAGAATTCAGGGGAAGCAGCTACAGAACCATTGAGATGGATCTTGGCAGTCTTGGGAAACAGCGGCCATTGCAGCTGGCTATCACAATCATTCACACTTCCCATCATGATCTTGTTAGTGACACCGAGATTATAAAGCAGCCAAGAGGGAAATCAGCAAAAGCAAATGTTGGCGGGCGTCCACGTTCACCACCACCAAACCCCACCGAGTGAGCTCAATGTGGGCTCGGTTATGCACACGCATCTGTATCCGGATGCAGGAGCAGTGAGGGCCAAGATAGCAAGATAACACGACCCTCCCAGCGCAAATAGTGGCCTATCAGAAAAGCATCTACTTGAGGCGCAAAAGTGTTAGCAGACCAACAGGTAGGCAGACGCCTAGGCATTCCCGAAACACTAATACAGCGTGCCCACTATTTCCGAACCGGCATGCGCGTTGCAGTTCCCCTAATCATGACATCATTACATGTAAGGGCCGTCCCATCCGTCATCCACCATGACAAAAGAAATCTCCCCATTCACACTTGCAGTGGCATACACGGTTACATTGAACATCGAACGAGAAGTGGTGATCGGTAAGTAGATAGGTACGTATGTAGGTATTAGCAATCATGCAGGCAGTACGAACGTATAAAGCATCAGCAACTTGCTCCCCGTTTACCAGACGGCATCTTCCCATCTGCATCTCATCTCTTCCTCTCTTCTCAAAACCACAACACAACCAACCAAGAACTTTCTCAACCACCATCTTGACCAAACCACAACCACATCGACAACCAAGACCAACCCCATACAAGCCCAAATTCCAAACCGCAACCATGGCCTCCACCACCAAAGGCAACGCCATCCCCTCGGCTTCCAAGCTTTCAGACCTCTTCAGCCTCAAGGGTAAGGTCGTCGTCATCACCGGCGCTTCCGGTCCTCGAGGCATGGGTATCGAAGCCGCCCGTGGCTGCGCCGAGATGGGCGCCTCAGTAGCCATCACGTACGCCTCGCGGGCCGAGGGCGCTCAAAAGAACGTTGCCGAGCTGGAGAAGGAGTACGGAATCAAGGCCAAGGCCTACAAGCTGAACGTAGCCGACTACGCGGAATGCGAGAAGCTGGTCAAGGACGTTATTGCGGATTTCGGCCAGATTGATGCTTTTATTGCCAAGTATGACGCTCCCTTTCTCTTCCCTCCCACCACCGTGGTTCTCTAGGAACGCATACTAACGCAAACAAAAACAGCGCCGGCGCCACAGCCAAGTCGGGTGTCCTCGACGGCTCCAAGGAGGAATGGGACCGCGTCATCGAAACGGACCTCAACGGTACCGCTTACTGCGCCAAGGCGGTCGGCCCGCACTTCAAGGAGCGCGGCCGCGGCTCCTTCGTCATCACGAGTTCCATTTCCGGCCACATCGCCAACTACCCCCAGGAGCAGACATCGTACAATGTCGCCAAGGCCGGCTGCATCCACATGGCCCGGTCGCTGGCCAACGAATGGCGCGACTTTGCCCGTGTCAACAGCATCTCGCCCGGTTACATCGACACCGGCCTCTCGGACTTTGTTGACCAGAAGACGCAGGACTTGTGGAAGAGCATGATTCCGCTGGGCAGGAACGGCGATGCAAAGGAGTTGAAGGGTGCCTATGTTTACTTGGTCAGCGATGCCAGCAGCTATACCACCGGCGCGGATATTTTGATTGACGGTGGATACACTGTCCGCTAAAGGAGGAGCGCGGAGAAGAGACCTGGGCCCGGAATCAGATCACCCGGGAGTTACGTCATACGGCATGGGCGCACAGGCCACCCGGAGCCGGAAATATGGGGCGTGTTCGGATCCGAGATGCCGTGGATGCACCTCGCTCGATTCGCTGGCAGTTAGCCCCTTGAGCATTATGTAGAAGCCTGTACGAAGTTATGAATAATGTCAAATCAAGCAATGTTATAAGATACATTGTCTCGGATTCCCGAGGTGTCTGCCAGCCACTGCGTTCCCCCGCTCCAACGGCATGACCGAACTTGAATACTCTTCGGAGTTCAAGACCTTCAATTCCGGACCCTTAACCGACCATCACTGTCATCCCCCTAACATTCTTCCCAACTACCTTCACAGCAGCTTCTGCACGCATCAGTCCCGCCCCTTCCAGCGACCTAACCTGAACCGTAACTTTCTCCCTCGGCCACAAAGTCACGTAATTATCATCCCAAATCACCGGCACCACATCCTTCCCTTCTTTATCTACTAAGTTGAGACTGATGAAGAAGGCGGGGAAGGAAGAATGGTTTTCTAACGTCACCTGCAACTTCGAAGACTCGTACTCAGAATGCCCCTTGGACAAAGCTGTTACCGTTACGTTCGCAGTAGGTAGCTTGTTTAATGTCGTGTAGTCGCTGTACTCGCTTACGGGGGTGTAGTACCAATTGGAGTTGTCCCAGGCTAGAGTGTCGAGGTTTTTGGAGAGCCAGTAGGTGTTGCTGCTTAGCTCTGTCTTTGGAGGTTGGATTGGAGTTAGGAGAGTTGTCGGAGAGGACTAAACGAAGAAAGACAACATCTTTGATATTCTCAAAAGCAGAAGCCATAGAAATGATTTCCCTACTTGTATTCGGTTTTGTTGTCGTTTTTACTGTGTTGCTGTATAGTGTCTTTCCAGTTGGATCTACCATTTCGATATCGACACTTCTTGGTCCTTGTTTGTCCAACGACCTGTTAATGAGAACCACGTTCTTCTTGACGTAGTCGAACGCCACATGCTCGATCCGACTACCGACTTTGGCACCGAAATACGCCCCGGCAGGATGCATGTAGTAGTCCCAGATGGACCAGTGCAAGCTCGGAAAAGCACCGTTTAACATCCAGTAGATCATGCCCGTCGCAGACCGCTTGGGGGAGTTCCAGTTGGCTGCGTACCCTTCGAATTGGGCGCGGGTGGCTTCGTAGTCGGTGATTTGGGTCTTTTGGACATAATCCTCGAGAGAAGTCGGGGCGCCCCAGCGGTTCCAGAGGGCAGAGTTGTAGATGTTGCGGTTGCGGAAGCTGGAGGTGTCTGTAGAAGACATGTGGAACAAGTCTTTGTTGGGGTTCTTCCAGAGGTCGGTGAGGTCAGAGGGAGAAAGAAATTTGTGCAGGCTGGATAGGTCTGGGGTTCCGACGCCGGCGCCTAGTTCTGATCCGAAGCCGAATGCTGCTCCGAGATGAGTCCGGTCGTACCAGTAGTTGGGAGGAACCCAGTCGTAGGGGCCTTCCATTTTTAAACCGGGCGAGCCCATGAAGGAGGGGAATCCCCTTTTCGAAGCGGAGGATAGCACTGGTGTTTGCCAGTCTTGGAGTCTTAGGGTGCTCATGTACATTGGTGCTGCCTTGGAATCCGGCCAGTAGTCGCTGCCGATGAGATAACCTAGGATACTCGGGTGAGTTTGAAGCATCCCGGCTTCGTGGAACATGCTTGCGTTGGCGATACCGTAATCGTCTTCGCTCCAGACTGGGGTTGGGACTGCCAGGTCCTGGTTGTAGCTCCATGCCTCCCATTTGTCGCAGCATTCCCATCCGGCGAGAATCATGATGCCTAGTCGGTCGGCGATCTGATAGAGCTCCGGGTGCTCGTTCTTCCCTTCGAGGCGGATGGTGTTGAAGCCGAGGTCGAGGACGTAGCGGACTTCGGATTCGAATTTGGCGGAGGAGAAGCGGAGGAACATGTCGGGGGCGTAGCCTGCACCAAGGACTTGGAATGGTTGGCCGTTGATGAAGAAGGTGGTGTCGTCGTACGAGTTAAGCTGGGAGGTGACGGTGCGGAAGCCGAATACTGCGGAAACCTGGTCGGAGAGGGTGTTGTTGGAAGCGAAGACGGAGAGTTGAGCGTTGTAAAGTGGTTGGGAACCCCATTGCTTTGGCCACCAGATGGCTGGCTTCTGGACAGTGGTAGTGAGGGTTACGTCTGTGGTAGACAGAGGCGGGAGAGTGACGGTTTGGGACCAGGTTAGTGTCTCGCCGGTGTAGCCTTCTGGGAATACGGTGCCGGTAACGGTGATGGTTATTTCTTCATTCTCCAAGTTCTGGGCACGGGATTTGAGAATCACATTTGCGGGTGAGCTATCCAAGGGCGTTCCAAGCTGGGTCACCACCCGTAGGGGTCCAAGAGCAACAGATCCGGTCTGCTTGACTTCCACATCTCGCCATACTCCTGTGCCATTGTCTGCAGGCCACGGATTCCAATCCCCCCAGCCCAACGCAAAGTCGGCGTAGTAGCTCGTGGGATGTGCCTGGATAAGCAATGCATTGTCCTTGTCGACCAGATCAGTGATATCGTACGTATGGCCTCCATAGCTACCAGCCTGTGTCTCCTTGTCCGCTACTTGTTTTCCGTTCAGATACACGTCGGCGCGGGAAGTGATTCCATGCGTGAGAAGATGGAAGTACTTCCCGGCTCCTGGATCCAGTCCGAATTCCTGCCGGTACAGCCACGGGACCTCAAACTGCTTGCTGTCCACTCTTCGGAGGTTGTCCGAGTAGAATAGCTCGGTGTCGTTGTAGATGCCGGCTTCTAGCAGGCAGCCCATCAGGGTGCACTTGGATGTGTTGACATGCAGCCATCCTGATGTGTCAATGCCTGGACGAGAGAGAGCTTCCAAATCACTTGCTGCTTTCGTTGATGACTGCAAGTCCCATGCAGGAACGGGTGCTATTTGGCCTGGTGTTGATACTAGAGCGCTGCTAGAGTCTGCCGTAGTGGTTATGGCAATACCAAGGATGGCGCCGAACAACACCTGAAGCATTACTGGAGACTTCCTCAGTTGCATCGTGAAGAGCCCACGGTGGATGGGCGCCGTGGTGTTGCTAGAGGTAGCGGGAAATTGCGGCCTTCGCAGCGTCGCGATCGAGGAACATTACACGAGGGCATCTTATACTGGACATTCATTCATGATGATATGAGGGCGTCGCGACTAGGCTCCTCCAAGGCATTTGACGTGTAACTTGCAACCGGGTGAATGCCCGCGCAAATTAAAATCAACGTTACATGTCGTGTCACCAGCCACTTTACCGTTGCGTCTCCGGGCTTCCGTTTCTGGAGGATGAATCGCCAACGGTGCGGGAGGTAGTGTGACACGGGTAAAGGAGAGGATTGCGGATGATTTGCGATACATATTACGACAAAAAGGGAGGTTGTTTATTCGAAACATGGGCCAGGGCGGGTGAAATGTTATGATGGATGAGAAAGTTGCCCCTGTGTGTGGACATTCCATTCGTTTGGGGAGTCCGCTGTGTAGAAATTGTTAGTGCCTGTTATAGCAACTTCCACGTCGGCACTTATAGGGCCCGTTAATTGGCCTTTAGAAGCCAAAGAAAGTGGAAGGGTCCGGGCCACTTCAATAGCGGCAGGGCATCAATGGTGGAGTACTGGAAGGGAAGGTAAACAAAGTTAAGACTACCTAACAATGGCTTTGAGACAAAGACATGATCGACAGACAACCTCAAGCCATCAATCTTCACATGCAAGGGAACTGCCGGCAATGGTGATTGGGAAAAGTTCATTTGCCCACAAAGACATTTCAACTCCAGTCGTTTTCTGTTGTTCCTCCTCATCACTTCCAGTCAGCGCAAGCACATGTCAACACTAAACCCCGCCTTCAAAGGACCCATTTTCAGTGTACTCGTTCCATTCGGGCTCTCACCATGACGTCACTACATCAACAAATCCATCAAGGACCACGAATAAACACAAAGACAAGGAAAACGACATGTGCCATCCCATTTCTTTTTTCGATGTCGCTTAACAGATGCGATGCAATGACAGCCACTTCCGGCTACTCCCGCCCATTCCAACCCAATTGGATGGAGCTTTAGTCCGCTATCACATCTAACCAGGCACCACTCAGGCGATCCGGTAGGGTGTCGTCCGTCTCCTCCATCCGACCTCCAACTGCCGATTTATCGTCACCTATATCAACCTCCCTCTTTCCACCCACTCGAAGTGTCATCATTCTTTGGACAACATCATTAAAAAACCAAGCCGCATTCGTTCCTGGCCACAGAATACTTCCCAACACCCACGAGACTAGCGATCAACCAAGATGCCGGTCAGAGTCATTCCCAGAGAGGACGAACAGGTCGACGACGACAGACAAGGCGTCGACTTTGCTACCGCCGTCTCCAACTGTCCTCCCACGGCCGAACGTCCCCAAGCAATCGACATTGACGTCGACATCTACAAGCCTAGCATCGCTCGCGCGAACGTGGCCCCGTCGACCGAGCAGCCCGAGGGCAGTGCCGAATATGTCGACGCCCTAGACCTCAAGGACTACGTATGTCACTCAAACCATTCCGTCTCCGATTTCCCCCCTCAAGTCCACTCGCTAACATCCAACCTCTGCACATGCAGACCGTCCTCCAGCAACACTGCTTGTTCTGGGACCGCGACAGGGACGGCGTGATCTGGCCCCAAGATACCTTCATTGGCTTCTACGAACTCGGCTTCAACCTCTTCTTCTGCTTTTTAGCGACACTCGTCATCAACCTCAACTTCTCGTACCCGACCCGTCTCGGTGTCTCCTACATCCCCGACCCCTATTTCCGGCTGTACCTGCCGTCCATCCACAAGGCCAAGCACGGCTCGGACTCGGGCACGTACGACAAGGAAGGCCGCTTCGTACCGCAGGCGTTTGAGGACATGTTCAGCAAGTGGGACAGGGGCGACAAGGGCGCGCTGTCGGCGGGCGAGCTCTGGAACATGATAGCGGCGAACAGGCTCGCTGCGGACCCGTTCGGCTGGGCTGCGGGCATCTTCGAGTTTGGGGTGACGTGGTTGTTGGTGCAGGAGGAGGGAATGGTGGACAAGGAGGATTTGAGGAGGATCTATGATGTGAGTAGTATTTCTTCAATATTCCGGATTGGCCTTTTGTTAAGGACTATACTAACAAAGTGTTTGGTCGCAGGGCTCCATGTTCTTCAAAATCAGGGAGGCCTACCGCACCGAAAAGGGATGGAACAAGGGTTTCGGCCTCCGCGAGTTCTTTAACCTGGGCCGGGAGCAGTTGGCTAAGAATAAGGGCAGGATCCCACCGTTGAACGGCATTGTCAGTAAGGTTGAGAAGACTGTTACGCAAAAGTTGCACAGGGCCTGAACGCACAAAAGAAGGAACATGGCCGCACAAATCCTTGGTCTTGCCAACAACATACAAGCATAACCTAGATCTTAGAGGCATAACACTATAGACTCATGAATACAACCATTAGCATAGGCACCGCCGTTCCAGTAGCATTGGACCGCACTGTCATGAGGCGGGGTTGTGTCGTTGAGGTTGTTCCAATGCTGTCCCGTCGATCAAGCTGTTGGCAATAACCGGCAACGAATCATGCAACTTGACCGATGAACAAGTAGGAGAGGTACAGATCGAAAAGACTGACTAATCGCCCAGAGGAGGCAGGAGTTTGGCTGCAGTGGTGATCAAAATGAGGGGGACAGGCCAAGGGAGTGAGGAGTTCAGCTTCGTCATGATATGACGCAGTACTGTACTGCCCCAAGTGAAGAAGGAACAGTGCGTGTTTGACAGGTTGCACGAGAACTGAAGCCTTGGGTTAGCTGTGAAAGGCAGAAAAAGAAAGATTTGTCGTTGTCGCTGGCTGTGAAGAAAAGTGCTGCTCAATCATCAGGTCCTCTCTTTCCGATTGGATAGGTACTAGTGGAAGATGCTGGCGTTAACTTTGGAGATGGAAGACGACTGGAATAAAATGATTCGAGTTTCAAGTGCCTGACTGCGCCTCCCACAGATAAGCAATTCGCTGCATCATGCAGCTAGGTAGGTAGGTAGCGTTGTGGCTGTACCTTACTCTTCAAGGCAGACTGCAGGAGGCGCTTCGAGCCTTGACGAACAACGGGAGAGAGCGTGGTTGATGGGATGGGTAGTATCTCGTGTGGAAGGAAGGAACTGAACGAAGGCATCGCCCAATTATTGAACGTCCCCACCACACCACATGCAATTCTTAAGTTGTTGCCTGCTAGCCGAGCCAGCCTCTCCAGTGACACGCCTTCTTCAAGTTCCTTTCTAACTAACCCCTGGTGACTCTCGACGGAGCTTCGCACTCCCCAATCTGTTCTCTTCTTTCTCAACAACACTGGACTCGCCTCCTGTCCTCTGTCAAGTCGTCGCTTCCCGCCTCAACATGGACCCGGCGTCGATTCTCGGAATTGTGGCCGCTGCATGCCAGTTCGCTGAGCTGGCGGCAAAGGGCGCAATCAAGGGCGCTGGGCTGTTGAAGAGCCTGAGAGACACGCCTGCCAAGCTCACGGAACTTCTGAGACTTGTTCAGATATCCAAACAGAATATGGTACAACTGCGAGATCACCTAGCCCACCCAACTCTCCTGGGCCTTTTGCCCCAACTTCAACTACAATCCTTTCGAGACAACATCGATCAAGCACACAAAATAGCCAAAGAATTGGAAGTACAGATCGAATCCCTTGTTGAACCTACCACCCAGGATTTGAGGGGAATCAAAAAGCTCTGGCGAGACGTCATCACAGTCAAGAAGGAAGGAGAGTTCAACGACAGATTCGAAGCCATCCAGCGGTACAATGAGCAAATCCACCGCGGACTCTCAGGTCTCCAGGTTGCTCTGTCCACCAAAAATCTGTGAGTCAACCCAAAGTTGCCCCTCAAATGCAATAGATATTAACAGCCTTCAGGGAGAGCAGTGTAGCCATCGGAACAAGAGTCAATGAGAACACCACCGTGCTGGCTGAGATAAAAGACAAGGTCTACGAGCTGAACAGCAGGAAGACCGATGTTGATATCGATGTGAACGTGCATGGTTCTACGCTCATCGCAGCTCAGCAAACACGAGCCAGCCCAGCAACAACCCGGGTCGAATTCGAGCTGCGACTTGAGCCGGTGTCAATCAGAGACGAAATACGGAGCGAACTCATGCTACTGATGACTGGTCAAGGGCCGTACGCCAGTGCGTCCAATGCGCTTCTTCCCATCGTATCACGCCTTTCCTACGAAGACAGAGCGCAAGTAGCTAGCATGCTTCTGATGACTCAGGCTCAACATACGAATAGCCCGAGAAGACACAGCAACTCTGCAGCGGCGAGACGCTCCTCTGATCGGCACCCCGCCCCCGGGCCACCATTGTGTGATTGCGATATCAAAACCTATAACATCGGAAAGACATTCAAACGTGGTCCATTCTCTTTTGGTTATGGCTATGAGAACCAGAAGCGACATCACAACTCTTGCCCCTACAGTGGAGGACAGACAGCGAAACGAACCTGGAACTCTGAGCTATGCATGCAACTCCTCCCTCTGGTCAACAAAACGGTGCAGTTTGCTTTGTCTGCGACAATCGGCGGTGGCGGTTTTGAGCTCCGGTTCCCGCTGAAAGTGGTTCCTACCGTTCAAAGGGCCAATTCAGCGATATTCATGCTCTTTGATAATTTCGCCGAGCGATGCGCAGAGCTCGGTTTCTTCAGGGAATATTACGTTGATCAACGTTTGTATCCTGATTTCTACGTCGACTACAGATACTACGTCTACCAGTATCGACGCGACAGCAATACCGCGGCTGTGTGGGACATTGATCGTATTCGTCAAGAACTCCAACACATTCATAGGGTGCTGTGTGATGCTCATATCCTCCAGATTGGTTCAATCAGAGACAGGGATGAATCAGGATTCACTGTCCTTCATGTAAGTTATCCTTCAACACACACTATTCCCTTATTCTACTTGTTCGGTCCTTCATGACGGCATTACATCGTTCATAACTAACAACCCCATAGGAGTTGATGCTTTTGATCCTACAGGTGATACCGGTGTATAGCCACGTTGTAGACGAAATCACAGACCTTCTCGCGCTTATCTCATTTGATGGCATCGACGCACACACTACCGCCGATACATCTGGACCACGCCGTTTGGGATCATTTTCAGCCTTGAAGAGGAATGAACCGACCACGTCTAGGCACTACTAGTATGTGAGACTACAAAATCTATTGCAATTTGAATTTCAACAGATATACATGTACTTACCGTGCAATGTTACATCTTCACAGTCTCGGCCATAACATAGGAGCATCTCCACTGAAAAGTGCAATAGACGCCGCCCGAATGATTTTACCTCTATTCGGACAGATGCTCGATTCGACAGAGCAGCCATATCTCCCATTCGATTTTCTGCGTAGCATAATGTCCTTGGAAGTGGACCATTACACCCGAGAAATGGCTACCAATGTGGCATTCTACAGCGTGAACGATTATTCCACAGGCTCTGTTGGTTGGCATGGAAGCCAGCGCGAGGTAGAGGTGTATGCCTCCGTCCATCGCGCAATGTTGACATTGCTTAGGAGAAACCCAGATTTATCTACATGTGAGTCAACGATATACCTGATTATTTATATATGTTCTCCTTGACGGGGTGGTCCGTCTCGGCTCGTGCACCCCTGCTGATATTTACCATAAGCCATTTTTGAGGGGGAACTGGCAAGGATCGTACTAGACCGAGACCTTCGTAACCTGGAACGATTCCTAACATCATCCACGCTCAACTGGTCAGCACAAGCACTTGGTTTTGCCGGACTAAGCATTTTAGATCTGGCTGTGGGATGGAGAGAAGGGTTGCAGGCTCTATCCGCCGTATGGACGTGGGATGCATCACGCACCTTTTGGCTGGCATTCCTGATATCTGACAAGGACTCTTGCCACCAAATTCTGGACTTGTTCTTCATGCCTATGAATAATTTCACATTCATCAGGCTCATGATGGGCTTGATCAAGGCTGATGCATTGGACTGGGCCACAATCGTTGTCAAGTCGCACGCTCGCAAACGCACAGAGCTTGCCACCCTTGGCCGCCAACACTTATCCCGCTTTGATCAAGAAAGACTGGGACTTTCCACTACCAAAGTAATACCGTTGGATGCTCATGCGCGAGAAGTATACGACCTCTTGGGGAATAAAGGAATTCAAGTCCCCCTAGCCTTGCATCCTGGATGGACTGGGTCGATCTATTATGTCTTGAGCGACTATCACAACAGGTTCGGATCACAGAACCTTGACCAGAGTTACCGGTATATTTTCGTTCCGTCTACTACAGATATCCGTGACAGCTTTCTGCTGGTCGTAGTGGCGCAGCAATTGTTCGACAACGGCTTTACCGTTTTCGACAAGGTGCCACTAGAAAGGAAAGGAGAGCAGCTGGTGATGACGCCTCTGGAGAAAGCCACACGGAAATTCTCTGGACTGGCCGGGTTATCAATATGCCTTTGGCTTCTACAGAAGGGTGCCAGTTCCAACTTTCCGCTTCCGATACATTACAACGAACAAGCCTCCCTCGGATTTCGCAGACAGAGCAGCCGCAACCTGTTAGAGCGGCTAGCAAAAGGATGCACTACTCAGCCCAACTCACACTGGTCTTTGATGCGTCTGCTAGTTCAGTACGTTTCCGGCCTGTGTCCTCCCATGTTGACAGACAGCTGTGTCTGTTATTGTCTTACCTCGGACGGATGTCTACCACAACACCTCCACGTATCCTTTGATGCCTACTCCTCAATATGCAACCACCATGAGCACAAAGCTAACGCCCTAGTTTCTTGGCTCGAGTCGTGTTTTCTTACCCGTGACGAAAAGTCGCTGTGCTTCAAACAAGCAGTGCGGCTAGAGCTGTTTGACAGACTCGGTCTCGTTCACACATGCTGTCTAGGGCTGGAAAGCGAAGGGGACCCTCCCAAACCCGAAGAAGTCGAAAGGATCAGAGACGATGATGAGGAACTAGCATCACAATTGGACTTGTTAATGCTCGCTTACCGTGGGTCCCTCCTCATGTTTCTCCACCAGCATGATGAAGATGAAGAATACTCCACGGAGTTCGATTGTGGTTGCTATGAATCTGAAGGTCTGGGGAAAACGCCTCCTTTATGGGGTAGCCATAACCTAGATGCCCACACAACTCTTTTGCTGGCTCATTGGCGCCACTGGTGGAGTGTGACGGATCCAATCCTGGCCGATATTTACAGCATCACTCGGATGGATCTCGATGAAGCTTGTAACGGAGAGGCCTTTGACGTCGGATATGGGTCAGAGGAGCAAGTAGCAGATATGATGCGTGAGACAGCTGATAGGAGGACTAATTTGAATCTGGAAGAGATGGGATTCGGCGACCTCGATTACAATGAAGTGATCGAGCGGCATTTTGCCACGGAACTAACATACGCGAGGGAAAATATTATTTCCGTGCCTAGAGGTAGTGAGGATGCGCACTATTGGCAAAAGAAGTTTGATAAGGCAACTTTTGTACCAGTCCACAGGACAGAACTCCTGGACGAACTGATGGAAAAGCTAAGGCGAGCAGTGTCGGGACAAGATGAAATATTCACAAAGGAAACGAAGATATGGAGCGATCTGGAGAATCAATTTTGGTTATGAGTAACGGGGAAGTACAGTCCAGTACTGGTTTGTTTGTCACCTAGTCCGAGACCTCGTGTCAACTTTCCCATGCATTTTCATTGCTGACTAATGCGTGATGTTGCCCAGAATACGTTATTTCTGATATTCAAATTGCCATATAGGATTCTTGCTGATGGCTTTTGTGATTCGTACCAGCCATTTTCATTGGTTCTTGCGAGGTTTGGGACAATACTCGGGATAGATTTCGTGTACGTAGTGTAGTGTACAGAGTACGGCATAGTACCTACCTAGCGTACCGAGCTGAAAAACAAACAAACAAACCAGTACTAAATTGTGATATATTGGGGAGACGGAGAGAAATAGTCTCCGTTGTGCATTGGTCATACAATGGTGACAAACGGTGGCGCAGTTGAATAAACATAATCCTCAATCTGACTCATGAAAATTAGCTCAGTATGGGTTACCTATACCCTATCTCCTCATAGAGGTACACCCTTGTCTTTTCTTTCTCTTCCTTGGGGACAGTCTAAGCATTAAGAAGTCCAATGAGTGGAGGTTATTGTAGACTGTGTAACTTATGTTGATGGGCACAAGTGAAGGAAGGGAATGTTGATAGGTCCAGGTTGGAAGGGGGAATAGGTAAGTGGTAGAGAAGAGCGGGACTTCAGTAGGTGTTAGCTGCCTGAGATACCGAGGGAACACATGCGAGACCAGTGCTGAAATGACCAACCCCAAATCTTCCCTTCACTCCAACGATACACAACCACGAAAGCACAAACCCCAAGAACTTATTTCCAAATTCCAATTACCTTCCTCCAAAAGCTTCCCAACATCAATCTGTTTAATACTCCAAGGCAGACAGGTAGTCAGAATGGTTTGTTACGTGTTCGGCAGATGCATCCCCAATAGACACTATAAGCTCAACAGCAGCCTTTCCTGACCAATCAACTACGACAGCTGATCCAACAGTTGTACATCTTCCGTAGTATAGTGGTCAGTATGTGAGCTTGTCAAGCTTGAACATCATATCAGTTCGATTTCGCTCGAGACCCGGGTTCAATTCCCGGCGGGAGAGACCATCAATTTTTTTGCCATTTTTGCAGCTTTGTCTTCAAACCCTGCCCAGTATCAATCAGTAAAAGGTCACTGACACAGAGCTTTTTGCTTTTCGGGTTTCTATTGGGCGAGGGAAACATGGATGCTCTGGAGGTCCCTGCCGGCCGTTCCTGGACCGCCCCACTGAACAAGCAGCAAGAGTGGGGACATTAGTCCTCCACTTACAACCACAACCACAACCACAACCACAACCACAACTTCCTTCCAACTTCTTCCTGTTTTCTTCCTCACCACTTACAAAGTCGAACCTACGGCGGATGGCGCTTTTTCGCCGTCACGCGCTTGACCTATAAACGACGGAACATTCCGACATTCACATCGCTCCATCGGCCTTGGAGACGACTGAGGATTCCAATCATTCGAAAGTCCCCCAACTCGTTAACGAGAACGATTTCTCTAGTTGTTGGTGGAGAATAAATATCTCATTAATACTTATAATTGCTGATCCTCCACTAGCATTCACGCGAATCCGTCCCAACCGAACTGTACCTGTGCCCATCTTGGTTGGATACCAAAGCTGATCTTTTCTTCATAGGATCTTTCCCCTTTGCAAGAATGCTTAGACGCCGTGCGAGCTCCTGCACAAACGATCGGCTGGCATCGTCATACTCATAGATATAGTCATACGCCCCGTAGGAACAGAAGCCAAACAAGAAAACCGAGATGCCCAAAGAGACCAGGTACGTCACCGCCACCTTGGAATCCGCATCCCATTCCCAATCTGATTCCCCCTTTTCAAAAACCGGTGTGCACACGACAACAGACAGCCCGGCCAGGTAAAACACGGTCGAGTATGCAATGAGCATGATGGAGCATTGCCACACAAACGTTCTTCGCGAGCTCAACACCCAATGATGCCGCCGCGAGTCTTCTTCAGGTGCCGTCCCCGCTTCTGCTTCTGCTCCGTTGCTTGGTCCGCCTTCAACATCTGCTGCTGCTGCAGGAAGATGAGGCTTATTATAGCGCCGCTTTTGCGTCGTGAGGATTTGCTCCAGATGTCGTCGTATCACCACCTTTGCCGTCTGTGCGTCGTCGCACTTTTCAACAACGTCCAAATCCTTCTTCTGCTGGTGGATGAGCGACAGCAGCGATAGTTGCTGCGATGCGAGAAAGATGCCCGAGATACACAGTGAAAGCGATGTATACCAGAACGCACGACCGGTCCAGTGCGAAGTCTTGACAATGTCCCAAGAAAAGGATCCCGTGATGATGGCTGTCATGACAGCGGCCTATCATTCATCCATTTATTATATATTGTTAGTAAGTATTCATAGGTACCCTAGGTATGTATCCCCGTGAACAAACATGAAAGGCCAAGGGGTGTCTGGTGTTGTATGCCTACCGCGACTGCCACAAAGGATAACTCGTCCCTTTTCCCCGTCCGCCACGCCGCAATGGCGGCCAATTGCGCCTTTCGGTTTTCTGCTACTTCAGTATCCAGGTTGGCAACTTCCTCGATCTCTTGGGCCGGCCGAACTGTGTTATAGATGTAGAGACGTTGGTATGGGAGTGTAGCCAAGAACTTGAGCAGAGTCAAGACAGCAATAAGTGCCGTCCTGAGCCAGACGAGTACTATCTCCATGATTGAGACTTCTTTTGGTAGGTGCTTTGAGGTGACAGGTAGGTACGGTAGGTATGGATACGGTAGGGAATGCAACAAATCTTGAGAGCTGTGAGTACTCAAACAAACATCTGCTCCTTCAACCGTTGTGCAGCGTGCTGGGGGTTCCAGCTAAATACATACCTACCTACTATCACAGCAAGACTCAAGTGCGAGTGCTTCAAAACAAGTTGAGTCCGAGGACCCGAGGGGCTTCGGCACAGCTCGCCTCTTGTCAAATCAAATAACCAGGACGGTTGTTCAGCTGCATGTGCAGGTGACCCAAAGGGTAGTAGATGGCGCCGTTCAGCCTTGCCTACCCATAACAATCCGCTTGTTTGCTCGCTGCTCATTGCACACCAATGACGTATTTCAATGGAAATCCAGAAGATAGCAGTTTCTGCTAAGTATTGTGCGACCCGACCGATCCGCTTTCTATTAGAGGATATTGATACCTATCTTTTCCCATCGGCATCCAGCCTGTACCTACTGTGCCATATCGCCGCACCACTAGGGGCCAATCCGCGAGCACGCGATTTGCCTAGACCACAGGTGGCTTGCATATATAGAGGTAGAGTTTGGCTTTGGCAGCCTGATGCCGCCCATGCACTTTCCAAAGCCCCCAAAACAATAATGAGGGAACTATCTGATTGCCGGTGGCACATGGGCATAGTTGAAGGAACCGGCCTGCTCCGATCGTTTGAACTGGTGCTGCTGGAACTGAGGATAGGCTCAGTCAAGTCGGATTGGTCTACTTTTCGGATGGAAGATAACTGGTTTGCCTCGTCTGGGCAAAGTCCGGAAAGTAGGTAACAAGAGGGTCAAGACATCTGAAAACTGCATTCACGAGCCCTGGTTCTTTTGGTCGTTCCAAAAGAGATGGGGCTGATTGATCTGTGTTAGGTAGGTCCTTTAGTGGTACTGTTCTGTACATCTTCACGATTGAGATGCTCCGCTCCACCGCGTTTCTTCATTTTCACTTACAACATGGGTAGTTCCCGTATGATAGCCTTTGTAGATCAATCAACCTCTTCATGCCCATTGACCCCCATGTCGTCAAAGCGATTGAACTGACTCCTAGTCATTCATACCGTACCTTGTTCCTGCTCCTCCTTGGCCCCCTCCTCCTCCTCTTGCTCCCCTTGCTCCTCCTTCTCTTGATCCTCCTCTACTCGTTCTTGCCCCTCCTGTTGTTCTTGTCGTCCGTCGCCGTCGTCTTGCTGTTCCTTTGCGTCTGGTGCTGATGGCGCCTCTTCTGCTGGTGTTTCGTATGTCTCAAGGTCATCTTCATCCTCTTGCCCCTTTTTATCTGCTCCCTCCCCTTGTCCTTTTTGTCCCTCTTCTTGCTCCTGGTTCTGTGTCTGTCCTTGTTCTTCCTCGGCTTGCCCATTTGCATTATCTGGTGATGCATCATCTCGCTGCTCGCCTTCCTGCTGTCCCTCCTCCTCCTCCTCCTCCTCTTCTGACCCATATCCCTCTACATGTCCCTCACCCTCCATCGGTGTCGAGGCGGACGTATTCCTCTCTTCCTTACCATCGCCTCCCTCGCGCAGCACCCCATCCCCTTGCTTGTGAACCACAATGTCATACGGCGCTCTATTGTAACCCTTTTGCGGTCCACGTCGTTTCTTGGGCGGATTTGTATCCATTCCTATCTGTATCCCCTCGGAATCTCTCGGTCGTATTCTTTGAAACCCAGGGAGGTCCTTTGGCGGAGACGGTGGGCGCGGTGGTGGCGGTGCTGATCGTGGCGGCGGCGCTGGTCGTGGCGGTGGTAGTGGTGGAAGCGTGTGGTCCGACGCCGGCGGCGGTATCTTTGAGGTGATCATGATCTCCTTCGGCTGCGCGATCGGCTGCGCGATCGGCCTCTGCAGCTGTTCTTCCACCCGTCTCTGCAGCTGTGCTTCCATCTGTTTAGGCCGGAAATTGCTCCACTGCTCTGGCATCTTTCTCGGTTGATCCATCACTTTGTACATGGAGAACGCGACTGGGTTGTCCCTCCCAAAGAACTTTGCGTATTTTAGCCATCCCTTGCCAAAGGCTTTGTTGTTCATGTCGATATCCACCCAACCCCTGTTCCTGTTTGCGGGATCCATGTCGAGTTCCACGTCAATCTCGCCAGCTCGCCGGCCGATCCAGTCGAAGAAGATGCGCACGGGCGGCATAGGGTCGTAGGGGGATCTCCGTCGCGGATACTCGACGAAGAAGTCATCGCCTCGTCTCCGCTTCTGATGGGGTATACGTGGCAGAACCTCAGGGTCATGGAGTAGGTAGGCGGACAGTTCCTCTAGCGATTGTTCCGATTTGGCGAGGATCATGGTGCCTAGGGCAACTTTGAGGTTGATGGATGCTACCAGGCCGTAGCTGTCAACAGGCCAGTTGAGAATGTCGATGGTCATTTCGCCGGGGCGGCCTCCCCATCCGCCGTCTTCCAGGGCAGGACACTGGATCAGCCACGAGCCAACCAGCTCTTCGATCTCAAAGGGCTCGTATGCTTGGTGGGGGTTTGTCCGTAACAGATCGGCTTTTACTTGACACAAGCGGAAGTGAGGTTGAAGTGCCAATTCCCAGGTAGGGTTACCTTGGATCTCCACCCGCTGTGGCGCCGTGTTTGCGACTTGTTGGCGCATGGATGTCTCTTTCAGATGTTCTATTACCTCAAACGGCCTGTCACCCCAGCCGATCACCGTCTTGTCGATGCCGTTGCCGATAAAAGCCCAGACACGGAGGTCGGGGACGCGAAGGACGGCATGTGTCAGAATATTCCGGATATCGGGACCTCCAAACCATCCTTCGATGACGACGGGCTCCAGCGTCAACATGGGCATGGGGCGTCCGTGTAAGCCGGTAAGAAAATATTTGGATAAAAAGTGGTCGATGTGGAAGTGGGCCTCCATGGTAGGCACATGGATGGTTATGGACGGATGAGAGGCTGCAATGCTGGCAAAGGCCTCCTCGATGGCCCCCTCGATGCCGTACCACTCCCAGCAGATGACGGACCAGAGAGGCATCATATGGGACCGCAACCCGGGAACGGCTTTAACCACCTGGCGGGTGCCGTCGTAGTCGTTGAGTTTGTGCAGTATGATGGGGTACCGTGTTTTCCATGGATCAGGTCGGCCTCTGGTGTCGAAGAAATACTTGGCCATGAAGAGGTCGAGGCTGCAGTTGATCTCGTCGGTGGGGGTGGCGCATCGCGCAAAGGTTTGCTGTTCCCAATACGTGAATGCTTCTTTGTACTGTCTGTTGATGTCCTTGAACTGTCTTGCGAGGTTGTCCTCGATGGTCAGAATGTCAGCAGGCGGGAGCTTGCCTTCTTTGATGGTTTCTCTGAATAGGGCGGTCTGTAGAGCGTAGAACAAGTCGCCAGGAAGAGGCTCGGCGCCGGGGGCAGACTGGTGAACAGGGATGCCGTAGTGTATCAGTTGGGCGTGAAACCAGGCTTTGGCGACGGGTTCGATGGGCGGAACGGCATTGGGATCACGCATGATCATGTGGAGGTTGTGGGGCGTCTCTCGCTTGAAGCCCAGGGCCTTGAAGCCGTCCTTGTCATACGTGAAGGGTCCATGGACAGCGGGTGCTGGAGGCATGGGCTTTGGTCCCAGGTCGGGGGGCGGCGGGCCAAAATGTCCATAGATGCCATTGGGATGAGGGCTTGGTGCTGGCCGAGAATGAAGATCGGTATGAGGTCCGGGTGGGGGGCCATTGTTAGCGGTGGTGTTGGTGTTTGGATGGCTGTGAGATGGGGTTGAGGAATTTCCAGTCAAGGGTCGACTTTCATCCGATGGAGGATTGGAACGGGCTGGTTGAGTTTGTTGTTGTTGTTGCTGCTGTTGTTGACTTTCTTGAGGTTGAGTCTCAGGTCGGCCATCAGGTTGAGATGGAGGTTCAGAATGAGATTCATGGCTGTCTTGATCTTCAGGTGGGGCCTGGGCGGGACTTTGAGTTTGAGACTCGAATGCGGGTGTTTTGCCATCGAAGAGAGAGTCGGCGTCCTTGTCGTCGTCGTCGTCGGCTTGCGGGTGAGTCTCGGGGGCGGGGTCGGCAGCCGTTGGACTTGACACCGAGTCCATTGTTGTTGGAGGATCCGGTTGGCGGTCGGTGGTACAAGGTTCCATGGCTACTACTATGTGTCATTGATGTCGCGTCATGTTGTTCAAAAAGGTCACCGTGGCTCCTGTGAAAATGGCGGATGAGTGGTGATGTTGACAAACAGAAAGTGAGCTGCCCGTGGACGAACTTCAGACGCGCAAATTGACAAACGATTTGTTTTCGGCAGGCAATGCTGGTCCAATCAGTGGATCCGGACCCACATCGGGACTCTCCACCAATTCACTATCAGCTTTTCGACCTTTTAGCGTGGTCAGTTGTTAGTGTGTAGATGGCTGCCCGCTGAGTGACACCCCGCCATCCATTCTGCCATCCCATTAGGTCATTGCCCGTCTCATCCTTCTCTTTTCTCTTTCCATCTCTTTTTCCAAATCTCCGAGACGGAAAAAGTACTCGAGACAAAATGTCCAAAAATGCGACCACCAAGGTACCTACCACCACTCCACCGCAAAGAATTGATCGAAGGGAAATGGAATGTTTCCGACGGCATGATCGAGGTACTTTCGCTCCCGACTTTCCGGCGACCACTTGTCTTGTCATGCCCGAGTTCCCATCACTCAGTGACCAAAACACCACGGCAACAACGTTACGCAGTTGCGCCTTTTATACCGACCAACATGTCCAAGCGGGAACCACGTCTTGAATGTGTTTTCCCCGGGTGTCATCAACCACGACGATTGCTCAAAGTAGGGGACTTTTATACTCATCGGTCCCGCCCTCGAAAAGCTTCGCGGCTCGACTTGAAACCATCCATCCAACGGGAGACTTGCCGTCGGGGCGGTTATTCTTTCCTCGAGTGAAGAGAGTTGACCACCACACTGACTGACGGGATTACCATCATGTAATCTTCCCGGCACAATGGCTGTCGCACCGGACTGGCAAAGGATTGCTATCATGGGTAAATCGAGGTCTCCTAACCCACAGTGATCCCGGTATAAAGTAAGGTATAGCCCTCTTCTCACATCTCATCTTCGCCCGTGTTTGCCAAGTCCATCAATTTGGCTGGACTTCCATTGTCTACACTTCGTCAACACCACGCCAAAAACAGGTATATCAGCCACCATGTTCACCAAAGCCCTCCTCGCCCTCACGGCCCTTGCCCTCACAACTGCCACTCCTCTTCACCTTGACGACTCCTCCCCGACCTCTCCACAACCTCCAACTTCCACTGCCCTTGGCTTCGCCCTCGTTGCCAACCTCACCGACCCCGACATGGCCCGCAACCTCTTCCTAGACGACATCAACCACTGGTCCCTACGCGGCGTGCACGTCGGCGCCGGCCAAAGCACTGCCGTCCTCGCCAAGCCCAACACCACTGCATCCGGTTCCTCTTCACACACCATTGCCGGAAGATCCAGCTCTGGTCCCCATCAAATTTACTACCAAAACTCCACCGGCGGCATCTCCTTCGACAGTTCCAACCCCTTCCCCCTCTCCATTCGTCTCGGCGGCATCTACGACTCGGACTTCCCCTCCGTCCTCTACCTCGGCATCTTCTTTGGGCTTTCTACGCCTTCCATATCCATCTCCTCGCCCTCCGGCCACCCGCGCCTTTTCATCTCTTCCGCTGGCCCTGATTCACCCCAAGCTGACCAACCCACTGCTCCCGGGTCGCCCATCACGGATAGTGAGGCACCGGAACTGTATCAGCGCGGCACGTTCATTGTTTGTAACGAGACGGATCCGGTTTATACGAGGCCGCAGTACCCGGTTAGGTTTGTCAAGTCGAATGGGGATGGGACGGTTAGTTTGCCGGGTAATTGTGCGAGGATTGAGCTTTTGGCCGAGTGTGGGGTGTTGAGGTATTTGGATGGGCAAGGGATGGAGTATGGACAGGATAAGCCGGGGGTTGTCTCATGTTTTGATGGGGACCTTTGATCTTTGGGTATGGCTTCACTGGTAGGTGTTTGGTCAGTTGAACAATAACGAGGGTTCTGTTCGGGAGTATGGCTACTGGGGTGGTGCTAAGAGGGCTGAGGAGGGAAGAAGGAAGCGCTCTTGTGATGGTTTATCAAAGTGGAGGTTTGAATCCATGGCTTTTGGTCCCGGCAAGCGGTCGATATACCGAGGTGCACAAGGTATTATAACACAAACAGCATCCCTCCTAATGATCGAATTTTCACTTGGATCAATCAACACACACCCAACTTTTGCGTGAAGACGCCGAAAGGCTCGATGAGACCACTGCTAAAAAGCATGTTGACGTTGCAGTAATGTTCACGCAAACCGTCCCCTGATCCACGGTCCGCGAAAGATCTACAGTAAATCTTCATCTCCCCCTTCCCCCTCCCCACCATTTTCTTTCTATTTTTGTTTCAACCATGTCAAGTTTATCCCAGCCCTATACCATACAACTTCAACCACCGCCAATCCTCGCCAATCTTTCACCGTTGCATCCAAACTGTCTCCAAAGAACGACAGCTGGTTTTACCCGCCTTGGCAGACTGTCAGACATGCCCCAATACATAACCCAAAGCGCGGTACTGTGCGCTTCGACCGAGTCTCAGGGGGGGCTCCCTACAGCAGCTGAGTGGTCAATGGACAACGAACCGAAACTGTTGTGGTGTGGCAGCGGCACCATGTCCACTAATAACCTAATGACAAAAACTGCAAATAGGCCGGTGGTCAGGGGTTTGTGTAGTGGCCGTTTAAAGGATGAATTATCATGACCGGTTACTCACCTTTTCTTTATTTTATTATTTATTCTGAACGTTTTCATCATCTGCTGCACTCCTTTGGAGCCTTTGATGAAGAAAGAAAAGGGAACTAAAGCGTAGTCGCGACGACAGAAACATCAAAGTCTACATGCCGCCTTCACGATCTCACAGCATTACCTAGACCTTGCTAAACCACCACCATCCACCATCCTCTGCTCCGTCTCACAACGGAAATCACGACCACTGACTCACCAACAATGGCGCGCTTTTCCTCCACCGGCAGCATAATCCCCCGCGGGCACCTCCGCCCCAAATCTCGCCGTCGTCATATCCTCCTCCTCGCCCTCTTACTTCTCTTTAGCATCGCTTACTTTCTTCACTCCTCCTCCTCCTCCTCCTCCTCCTCCTGGGAATCTACCTCGGAGTTCGCCTGGCTAGAACACCACATGAACTCTCCTTTCCCCTTTCAGAGAAAATTAGTATCCAACACCTCTTTCGACTGGAGCTCCGTCCCCTACAAATACCCCCCGCCCTTTCCCCCCGGGCACTTACCTCTACCCATCAACTCCCACCCATCTTTACCATCCATCCAACACCACTTCCCTGCCGAATCCCGCGCAGCGCGTCATATCCGCGAATCCCGACGGCAGCAAGTCAAGCAAGTATTCATCAAAAACTGGAACTCCTACAAGTCCTTAGCATGGAAAAAAGACGCTTTGCTGCCCATTTCCGGGGGATATAAAGATCAATTCTGTGGATGGGCCGCTACGCTAATCGACTCACTGGATACGCTCTGGATCATGGGGTTACGGAATGAATTCGACGAGGCAGTCGCAGCCGTAGCTGAGATCGATTTCGGAGTTGTAAAAGAAGGAAGTGGTGGTGGTGGAAACAGAGTGAATACCTTTGAGACCAACATTCGGTACTTGGGCGGTCTTTTATCCGCGTACGATCTGAGTGGACGGGAAATTTTACTTGGCAAGGCGCGCGAGGTGGGCGATCTGTTATTCGCGGGGTTTAACACTGAAAAGAGAATGCCAGTGGATTTTATAGATTTTGAGAAGGCAAAACTGGGAAAAGAAGGGTTGGATGTCGAAGAAAGTGTAGTGAGCGCTAGTCCGGGAACATTGACTCTAGAAATGACGAGACTGGCGCAGGTGACGGGGGACATGAAGTATTACGATGCGGCGGCGAGGGTGATGGATGTTTTTGAGCGGGGGCAGAATCGCACCAAAATCCCGGGGTTGTGGCCTGTCTATGTGTCCATGGCGAGGCAAGATGTCACGAATGGAAACCAGTTTTCGGTGGCGGGGGGTGCGGATTCGTTGTATGAGTATTTACCCAAGATGTATGCGCTTACGGGGGGATTGGAGACGCGGTACGAAAGTATGTCGAGGGCGTTCTTGGAGGCGGCGGATAAGAAGCTTTTCTACAGACCGATGGTGCCGGGAAATGAGGACGTGTTGATGGTTGGGACGGCGGATGTCATCGTGGACATGGATGGGAAGGAGGAGATGGTGCTGAATCCGGAGAGTGAGCATTTGGGGTGTTTTGTGGGAGGGGTTTATGGACTTGGTGGGAGGTTGTTTGGGAGGCCGGAGTGGGTGGAGAGTCAGGGCGTCAAGATCACAAAGGGGTGTGTTTACGCTTACAGGGCGATGCCGACGGGGATGATGCCCGAGAGATATAATATGGTGCCTTGTCCGTCACGCGATGATGCGGGTTGTCGGTGGAATGAGGACGTGTGGGAGAGGGAGAAGAAGAAGAGACTCGAGTGGAAGCAACATCTACCAAAGGGGTTCACGACGGCGAAGGATCCGAGGTATATCCTGCGGCCAGAGGCTATTGAGAGCGTGTTTGTCATGTGGAGGATTACGGGCAGACAGGAGTTCCAGGAGGCGGCGTGGGATATGTTTACGGCTGTAAGCAAGGGGACGGTAACCGAGTTTGCGAATGCGGCCGTGTTGGATGTGACCAAGGCCGAGTATCCTCTGCCAAAGGAGGATTACATGGAGGTGAGACTTCTTACCTTGATCCGATATGGCGCCGTAATCGAGCAGTAGCTGACAGTGGTTCGCAGAGTTTCTGGTTGGCTGAGACGCTCAAGTATTTCTACTTGGTCTTTTCGCCGCCAGATGTCATCAGTCTCGATGATTTTGTCCTGAACACCGAGGCGCATCCGTTTCGAAGACCAAAGAAGCCACCGGGCGATCGTCCGCTGAAGGTGTAATGTATACGGTACCTGCGATGCTAGTATTTGATTACCATGATCAAATTGGATATACCATCATTGATCACGTTGACCATCTGTAGCAGTCGCGGTTCGCTGGCACGTTGGAGTGACCATGGACGGCCGGGATCCAACGTTGCCATGTCGAAGACTGGACATCCGATTTGGACTGCTGATGTTGGGGGACCAGCGTGACAACTGCCGAATGAGCATCCAGATTGCCCTCTTGAAATGGACGAGTCAGATTTGGCGATCAGATTGAAGTCGCAGTTGGAACTCCAGTTGGTGATCAATTGGGGAAGGAAGCTGGAAAGCCAACCTAGGTACTTGTGACTGCAGTGGCGGGATGTCTTCCTTCCTGTTGGAGAAGAAGCACGGCACGTAAAAGGAAGGTGCATGTTAGGTAATTCTGCATGACATGCAGATTCTGCAATTTCCATTCCATCTCCAGGTCATTTCCTACCGAGTCGACGATGGAACGGAAGGGAAGACGTTCGAGTTCGTGGAGACCAGATGTTTGCAACTTCCGTCTCCCTGTCAATTAGGTCTGGGCTGAGAGTGTCGATCTCCCCCACCATGGCTATGTTTGTTCAAGGGAGACTGTATGCCTTGACAAACAGACATCGACCTGAGCTCTGTCGTTGTCTGTTTCACTGTCAGAGAGATGCCAGAACAAACCAAAGAAGTATAAGAGAATTGTATTTCTCACCTCCTTTCGACGCCCTTTTTCGGCCATTGAAATAACGTTGTTGAAGGATGTCATGAATTGGAGGCCGATAATGTTAGTGATAAGAGAAAAGGTACCTTGGAGATCCAGTCTTTCTGCACTGACGTACCTTAGCGCCCCTTCTCCCACAAAATACTACTGTGTATACCCCTCCGGTACCCTGACGGCTTTCGCCAGACTACTAGTAGGTACCTCTAGGCAAGTCTGCTTCTTCCCCTCCTTCTCCTTCGACTCCTCCAGTTCATTCGCCCCCGCACCCATCTATCGCTTACCTTTATCCGTCCCCAGGAATCCAGAGGGAGATAGGTCTCCTTTGGTTTGTCCCAGCTCACGATACCCTCTCAAAGAATATGCAGGAATGACTAGCGGTAGGCACCAACCCGACATCGTACACCTATGGTAGGGCGCGACAATGTCTGGTTGCTGATCGCCACGGTCATGGCCCGAGACACTGGAGGACCCTGAACAACACAAGTCTCGCCGAGGCATCCAATCATATCGCCTTGTGCAGGAAGCTACCTAGAGCTAGGCCAAGGGTCCTTGGAAAGCTGGCATGGCGCTGTGTAATGCGCACAGCACAAGGGCACGAGTTCTTGCTCCTTATTATCAGAGAGCAAGCCCATCAAGCTTCCACTTCGGACCACTCAAACGTTCCTTGTCTACATCAAAACACAAACAGCCACCATGGCTCACTCGATCGGAGAAATGGACCCAGACAAGGAGAAACAGTTGGATGAGGTCCAAGTCAGCAGGAACAACGAGGTTAGTAGCAGGTCCATCACATCGTGTCTCAATTCATACCTCCCAACATGCTGACCCGCACTTCTCCCAGTTGACCCCGGACTTCGAGTATTCGCAAGCTGAAGAACAAGCCTTGTTGCGTAAACAAGACTTGACCATTCTTCCCCTTTGCGCCGCCATCTACTTCCTCTGCTATCTGGACCGTTCCAACATCGGCAACGCCCGCATTCTCAACTCGTCGACACACAATGATATGCAGACCGAGACCCATTCCACCCAGTACCAGTTCAACATCGCCTTGATGGTCTTCCTGGTGGCCTACGCCACTTTCGAGGTACCATCCAACATTCTGCTCAAGAAGCTGCGGCCTTCGCGATGGATCGCGTTCCTCATGTTTTCATGGGGTGCCATCACTATGGGACTGGGTGGTGTTCACAACTTTTCCTCCTTGGCCGCTGTGAGGTTCATCCTTGGTGCTTCCGAAGCCGGTCTTTTCCCTGGGTTGGTACCACTGATGGCCCCTTTGACCACCCCAACCCGCTAACCATCTGGGCGGATAAGCCTGGTTTACTACCTGACCTTTTGGTACAAGTCCGACGAGCGTAGTGTCAGGGTCGCCTCTATTCTCGCCAGCGCCACGCTCGCCGGTGCTTTTGGAGGCGCAATCGCCTACGGCATTGGCCACATGAACGGCGCAAGCGGGTTATCTGCATGGCGTTGGCTGTTCATCATTGAAGGCGCCCCATCGTGCGTCTCGTCGCTCTTTGTCCTCTTTTTCCTACCGGATTACCCAGAGGAGCACCTCAAGGGAAGAGAACGCGAAATTGCGCTAGCTCGTCTCAAGGTAGAAGGGAGCAAGAGTCATCATCGCAGCATGACGTGGCAGGATGCCAAAACTACGCTTACAGACTGGCGGCTTTATGGCCACTACCTCATCTACTTTGGAATATCGGTTCCCTTCAGCTCGCTGTCCTTGTTCACCCCGTCCATCACTGCCGGTTTGGGATACAAAGATCTCCGGGCTCAGTTGATGAGTGTGCCGCCTTATGCGGTAGCTTATGGTTAGTCTGCGCATACCTCCGTGATGAACATCTTACTGACGGAATTACCTACAGTCACACAAATTGTTGGTTCGTGGTCAGCGGACCACTTCAATGCCCGCGGTATTCACAGCGCCGTGTTCTCGCTCCTCGGTGCCGTAGGGTTTATAGCCATGGTCACGCTACCAGTAGATGCCTACCAGCACAGATACGGTTGTCTCATCCTTGCATCGGCGGGTTCTTTTGCCTGTGTCCCACCAATGCTGGGATGGCTCTCATCAAATGTCTACAGTACGGCTTCCGTAGGTCTAGCCATTGCAATCAATGTGAGTGTCGGGGGTGGCATTGGCCAAATCCCCGGTGTGTGGATATACCCAAAGGAGGAGGCCGCTCGGGGATATCCCACTGGTCACTGGACCAATGCGGGGATGCTTCTTATGGTTTCGGCGGGAGCAGTTGGACTCCGTCTCTGGTATGGTTACAAGAATCGGAAGCTTCTTCGCGAAAGTAACGGACAGGAAGTCCGGTTATTCCGACTCTGAAAAGGGAATCTGGGCTAAGATGGAGGCCGACTGACGTGTTCACCATGGACAAGGTATGAATTTCAGCGTCGTATCCGGGTTGTTTCTTCTTTTGTTCTTCTTCTCTTCTTTGTTCTGTTTGATAGCAATCGCAATTGTCCCAAGTCACAGGTGCACCCACACATGTGAATCGAGTTCGGGGAGCAAGTCATAGCGGCATACGTAAGTTAATCTGCTCGGAGCAATTTAAGCGTGAAAGTGGAGTTCTCTTCATTGTTCTACCCAAGCGTAAATGCTTGTAGACAGGAGAGATATCCTTTTTGGACATGGATGTCCCGGCAAGATACCTGCTCGGCTCCTGGTACTCACAAATATGACGTTTGATAGGTTCAAGAAGCGGATAGTAACCTCCAGGAGATCGGACGGGGTTCGGAGGAGTGGGGTTCTAGGTTGGGCTTCCCAATTGAAAGGATTCAGGTTGCTTCAGTAACAGAACCTGAAGCAAGAATAAGAAACCCAAAGGGTGAGAACCGAGGAGCACCGTTCGGGTTACCGCCAGTTTGGATCAGCTCAACATTTGGGTACGTATGGCAACAGAGGGAGAGGATGTAACAGCGGCAGCGAATATACCTTGGACTCGAGCCGTCCCCAATCCCTGCCTGCTGTCGGTAAACTTCTCCGACTACCACATAATCTCAAACAACTCGTATTCCAGGACAGGACAGTCCGACAAGGCAGGGTTATAACTCTGTCATTTGCTTCTACAGCCAGGTACGTACAGCCAAACGCAACTGCCAGACCTTTAACCTGACAGATTCCGCACGAATGTGCCTATCCTGGAACTGCAAGTTTGTGTGAGGCTACACGGTAACTGCCTACTTGGTAGCAGTACGCAGTCCCATTATTCCCCGCTCGAAGCTGTAACTGTGTGTTCCCCATCCGCCTCGTCACTCGTCATTCGTTAAACCAGGGACAGTGTCTCGCACGACCCAAGATTTTGAGTTGTAGTCTTCACGCTGTGTTACCATCTCTTTCCAGAAAAAGAGTAAGGTAGTATCAGACTTTCAAAGCACACAGATCAAGCTTCATTCCAACTCTACCCAAGGTCGCCGAGCTAGCTCCCATAATCCAACCTCTCCAATCAAGCCCAGAATTGAAGATGGTCTTGAAACTGCAATGGATCGAGTTGGCAGTTGCGGTTCAGTGTCACACCCGCATGACCAGCCTAATGCATATATCTGCCATGTCTGCTTCACCAGCTTACCCTCGGGCTGCTTCTCCGCCGCATGGCTTGTCTGCAAGTCAGCTTGCAGATTCCTGAATTCCCATCCTGTCGGGCACCTTGGGCGCGCTAGCATCTACCTCGACCTTTCAGCTTGATGACAAACGCTAAGAGAAGTCGCCAAGGTATTACGCTGGATACCGACCGTTTCAAGCCATGGAAGAAAGGTTCGCCTCTCCAGACGAACTCCAGGATGCCGGTCCACGGCCAACCGAACCTCGTGATAGCACCTCGAAAGTTGGGATATCCTCGGTCGGTGTCGTTGCAGCTGGTAAGTCATACAGTTCTGGTTTCTTTATAAAAAAGGGAACACCAAGTGGTTACCCGTCTTCACGATATTCTTAGTTGTAGACGTTACACTGTACCACGTTCGGTCTACCACATTCGATCCGTCTACCCTGAGGGTTACTCAACTACCCATGTCCTCTACCCGGTCTACTTCATTAGTCAACTTTCGTCATAAACCTTCACACTCGAGACTGAACAAACTGTTCCCCCCTTATTATTCTCTTGCTGATTCTCCTTGATAACCTCCCCATCGACAGACCATCATTGATCTCTTTACTTCCTTGCATAATGACGCGTATCACAGCCTCTCTTGCCGGAGTCGTCGCTGTCATCCTCGCCATCGTCATCCAAAGCCATGCCGTACCCGGCACATTAGGATGGTGGGAACGTGATATCCCACCACCAGCCTCCAGCTCGGCAGCTGCAACATCACCGGCAGAACCAATACCAACAACGTCACCTGATAATTGCAACCAGGCCTTTTTTACTAGTATCCTACCGCCCGAAGCAAGCCTGGAAAATATCGCGGCTGTTCCGGATGGCGGCAGCCATGGTGAAGGAAAGGCGAATATTGCGTATCCGACTGACCCGACGAACCTTCCTGCATTATGTGCGGTGACGGTCAACGTGACGAGTTCGCCGTCGAGTAGCTATCGGTTTGGGCTGTTCTTGCCGATGCCGACGGAGTGGAGCGGGAGGTTTCTTGCGGTTGGAAATGGAGGGTTTGCGGGGGGGATAAATTGGCTTGATATGTATGTGTTCCCCTCCTGTCAACGGACTACGAGCATTGCTCTTGTTTATGGAATTTGACCACCTTTGTGTCTTCGATGGCCGAACCAGCTGCTAATGATGTCTCTATCGATCTAGGGCCCCCGGCACACATTACGGCATGGCAACCGTCTCATCTGACCTTGGCCACAACGGGTCTGTAATCGACACATCTTGGGCTATCAACCAGCCTGAAAAGAAGACCGACTGGGGATGGCGTGCCCTTCATGGAACCGTTATGCTCGGCAAGAAGCTTACAGCCGCCTACTACGGCAGCGATATCACTTACTCGTACTATAGCGGCTGCTCTACGGGTGGCCGCCAGGGTCTCCGCGAAATCCAAGAATTTCCCGACTCCTTTAACGGCGTGCTTGTCGGTGCCCCAGCGTGGTGGACTTCCCACCTCAACAACTACTTCACCCAGCTAGGCATGTACAACCTTCCCAACACCAGCGACTCGTACATCCCGACGCCCTTACTCCAAGTCGTCGCCGATGAAGTCGTCCGCCAATGCGACCTAGCCGACGGTCTTCAAGACGGCATTATCATCCGTCCCGATCTCTGCACTTTCAACTCCTCCCTCCTTCTCTGCCCATCCAACGAAACAACACCAACCTGCTTAACCAACCCCCAACTCTCTACCCTCGCCAAAATCTACTCCTCGCACCACCACGAAACCACAGGCGAACTCATCTACCCGGGCCTGACCCTCGGCTCCGAAGCCCAATGGTGGGCCATCATAGGCAACACCAACGGCGTTCCCTCCCCCTTTGGCATCGGCTACCAGCGCAATTTTTTGTTTGACAACGCCACCTGGAACTACACAGCCCTCTACTCCGATTTCGTCGTCGACCTCGCTGAACGACTCGACCCAGGCCAAGCAACAGCAGATCACTACGACATTTCCGCCTATAAATCTCGTGGTGGCAAGATCATTCTCTACCATGGCTTGGCAGACGGGTTAGTCCCCACCAAGGGGTCGGAACTTTACTACCAGCGGACTATGCAGTACTTTGGCGACGAAACGACAGAGTTCTTCAAGATGTTCTTGATACCAGGGATGCAGCACTGCTGGGCCAGTCCGGCGGGGGTGGATGCGCCGTGGAATATTGGCGGGGCGTTCCAGGCTGGTGTGATGGGGTCCGGAGTCTGGTCGGTGCCCGGGTTCGAGGGGAGTGAGGAGCATGATGCGTTGGTGGCGCTGAGGAAGTGGGTGGAGGAGGGGAGGGAGGTGAGGCAGTTGGTGGCGACGAGTTGGAGGGCGGGAATGAATGCTAGTAGTGGGGTGAGGAGACAGAGGAAGGTTTGTGCGTGGCCGGGGAAGAGTGTTTTGAAGGAGGGGGTGGAGGAGGGTGGGAAGGATGGGGCGGATGGGGCGGATGTGGATAGTGAGGATGTGTGGGAGTGTAGGTGGCCTGAGGAGGGTGATGAAGGGGAGGTTGAGGTGGATTAGAGCGGGATGAAAGGGGAAAGGGGTATGGAAACGGTAGGAAGGATTTTTGTGTAATGGACGGGAAAAGGAGATGTTTTGGTTGTGACGGTTGAGGAGAAGTGCTGTGTAGGAACACTGGTGCATGGGGCTTTTGGAGAAGTACCTTGGCTTTGGGGAGTTGGTGAGGAAGGATAGCCCCTTCCAGAGGCATCATTCTTAGCACCCGTTGGAGTTTAATACAGAAGAATTATTTCAGTTTTCTCTTTGGAAATTTGATAGCACGATGACATATTAATGGTTGAGTGTTTACCCATCATCTCCTCTCTCCCTTTGTCCAAAAAGCACATGGGGTTAGGGTTGGAGGAGACAAGTCCCGTGTAAGTGATAAGATCCCCTGTATAGCGATAACGGGTTGGGAGCTATGACCACCCTGAGGGGAGCACCACGTCGGGCCAAATTCCCCGAATCCCCAATTCCTTCCCAATTCCTCTTTTCTCCATCTCGCCTTTGGTCACGACACGAAGGCTTGACGACGACACCATCCGACCTACCATGCCTCGAATCCCCACCGTCGAACTCAGTAGATATCTACTGACCGGCCACATCGCCTCTCCCGGTTGTCTTCGTGCCCGTGTCGCACTTCCCGGCAAGAATACGCGCGTAGCTCTCGGCGGTGCTCCTCTCCCCTCGCGACAGCTTCAGCCTCGTCAACACGCCCGCCACCTAACGACTGAAACCTCCCCCGCGAACCCCTCAACCACAACCTCTTCTCCCGCCGCCGCCGCCCCCTTCCGCAAACAACTCAAAGAACAAGCCAAAGCCCTCAAAAAGTCGGGCCACAAGAAGAAAAAGAGCAGCGACAACCAAACAGTCCCCGGCTGGGAACTCACCGTCGGCATCGAGATCCACGCCCAACTCAACACCGCCCACAAGCTTTTTTCGCCCGCAGCCACGTCCTTCAACGACCCGCCCAACACCCACGTCGCCCCCTTCGACCTCGCCCTCCCCGGCTCCCAACCGCTTTTCCAGCCCGCCACACTGATTCCCGCCGTCCGCGCCGCTTTGGCTCTCAACTGCTCCATCCAGCCCGTCAGTCGGTTCGACAGGAAACATTACTTCCACTGGGACCAGCCGAGCGGGTACCAGATCACGCAGTTTTACGAGCCGTTTGCCAAAGATGGCTTCATCACGCTCTACGCCAGGGACGGGATCGCGGCGGAGGATGGGGAAGAGATAAAAGTCGGGATCAAACAGGTGCAGATGGAGCAGGACACGGCCAAGACTACGGCACAACCGGGCGATGTCCAGTGGTTGGATTTCAATCGCGTCGGGGTTCCCTTGATTGAGATCATCACGCTTCCCGAAATCCACCACCCCGCTACGGCGGCGGCGTTGGTGAGAAAGGTGCAGATGGTTTTGGCGAGTGTGGATGCGTGTGTGAGCGGGCTGGAGGAGGGCGGACTAAGGGCGGATGTGAATGTTTCGGTTAGGAGGACGGATGATCCCAGTGGGAAGTTGGGCACGAGGACGGAGATCAAGAATTTGAGTAGCTTCAAGGCGGTCGAGGATGCGATCATTGCCGAGAGGGATAGGCAGATTAAGCTACTGGAGGAAGGAGGGGAGGTGAAGGGGGAGACGAGGGGATGGAGCTTGGGAAGCACGGAGACGAGAAGGCTCAGAGGGAAGGAAGGCGAGGTGGATTATCGGTATATGCCTGATCCGGACCTAGGGCCGGTGGTGATCGGGGGGGATCTGGTGGCAAGGTTGAGGGAGACGATGGGGGTGTTGCCAGACCAGGAGGCAGATCAGTTGATGGAGAGGTATAACCTCAGCGCCAAGGATGCCTTGTCGTTGATGTTGCTTGATGGTGGAGCTAGGATTCAGTACTTCTACAATGTGCTTGACTCCCTTGAGGAACGCCTCGCCGCCGATGGGCAAGTCGTTCCAGAAGGCGCGGAACACGCAACCCTGGCTGCGAACTGGTGTCTCCACGAACTCGGCAAGCTCACCGACTCTTCCTCTACCTCCTCAGATCCAGATGTCCTCGAAGGCCTGGCCATGACACCCCTCGGCGAATCACCCCTCGTTCCTTCGTCCTCCCTAGCTGCCATCCTCCACCACCTCTACTCCCGCACCATCACCGCCAAAGTCGCCAAGGATCTCCTCTGGGCCGTCTATCGCGGCGAGATCCCCGAAGGCGAAACCACCGGCTACATTGACACCCACGGTCTGTGGTTCAAAGAGTTGTCCGAGGAGGAATACGCAAAACTGGCGGATGAGGTTATCCACGGCGAAGACAAGGTGTTGGGGGAGTTTTTGAGGTGGAAGCAAGGGAAGATGAAGGCGTATCCCCAGGGAAAGCTGATGTTTTTGGTGGGAAAGATGATGAGAGGGGGGCCGGAGGGGAGGGTGGAGGCTGCTGGGGCGGAGAGGGTGTTGAGAAGAAGGATTGAAGAGGTCTATTTGCCTGAGCTGGAGAGGGGGGAGTAATCTTGCGTTCACAAAAGGGGGAATCCCGTAGTTGGGGTCTCGGTACCGTCATCGACTCGGGTCCACTGGCCGCAACGCAAGCTTCTCGGACTTCTGATCACGAAGCTGTCGTGACCATCTACCCTCCGCAACAAGGAAGAAGAGCGGTGGGGAGGGGATATCCATGGCCGTGGTCCTGTTGCTATCGTCACTCCAAAGGCACGTCAAGCGCTCGCTTCAATGGACGATAACACCGAGGCCTGGCCCAGGTAGAACAAGGTTCGGCTTCACATCTTGCACTCTCGGCAGACGGAACAATTGCAGACCGTTCTGACCAAAAACCAACTGCATGCCGTTCCGAGGTCGTCGGACTTCCCTTCCCGTGCCATGCGCCGTCACATTCCGATCTTGGCTCGCATTGACTGCTACTTCCCCTCCTTCCCACATCCCCAAGCGACGTATTATGGAGCCATTTCTAAGCTTACCATTGGTGATTATCGCTCTTTACGAGGCAAAGACTGGCATAAAATAGTGTCGATTATTACGCTTAGAACCCACTCACACCTGTAGGGGCAGACACCCTTACTAGTCAGCTTTTCTTTCCTTGTCCTTGTAGCGGACTGTGGCTCGTACTGTGCATATATAACTCGAAATGGTTAAGGTTCACGCGTTCATTCTTTCCTCTTCTTAGTAGTATTTTGGACGTAAAGTTCGTATTCGTATTATGAAAAAAAATTGGGGTAGGTAAAATAAGATGTAAATAAGGATATTAATAAAATAAGAGTGGTAATAAATAATAAGGATAAGATTTTGAGAAAATAAGAGGTAGAGAGAGGTTAGTAAAGATAGTGAAAGAAGGGAGGTATATAAATAAGATAAGTAATAAAACTTTTCAATAGCTATAGTATAGTAGTTAATATATTAGTTACTTAGTATTGAAGTTATAGGTTCGATTTATATTATAGCTTTTTTTTTTATTTTTTTTTTAAAATATATTTAGATTTTTACTATTTTAGAATTATATATAAATATATTACAATTATATTCCTTTTTCGTATACTTTATTTTTTACTAAATTATATAAAATACTAAAAAAAAAACTATATAAGTTTATAATATAAATTCTTTTAATAATAATAAATAATAGTTTAAAAAGTTTTAATAAATAAACTTTCTTCCTTATTTTTATATACTTCTAATCTATATTACTTACTTTTATATAAAAGTACTTAAAGAAGTTTATAATATTTTATATATTTATATAGCTATAAAAAAGCTCGCCAACTTAGCCGAGAGAAAGTGCCTTACCTACCCTATATTCAAATTAATTATTATACTACTTATATATATAAAGAAAGCTAGCCAACTTAGCCGAGAGAAAGTGCCTTACCTACCCTACATTTAAATTAATTACTATACTATTTATATATATAAAGAAAGCTAGCTAACTTGGCCGAGAGAAAGTGCCTTACCTACCCTACATTCCCTACCTTATATTTAAATAAACTACTATACTACTTATATATATAAGAAAAGCTGGCTAACTTAGCCGAAAGAAAGTGCTTTACCTACCCTATATTCCCTACCCTATATTTAAATAAACTATTATACTACTTATATATATAAGAAAAGCTGGCCAACTTGGCCGAGAGAAAGTGCCTTACCTACCTTACATTCCCTACCCTATATTTAAATAAACTACTATATTACTTATATATATAAGAAAAGCTAGCTAATTTAGCCGAGAGAAAGTGCCTTACCTACCCTGTATTTAAATTAACTATTATACTACTTATATATATAAAAAAAGCTAGCCAACTTAATTAAGGGAAAGTGCTTTACCTACCCTACATTCGAAATTAATATTTTATTTACTAATAAAAGTAGTTAATATAGTTAAAGAAATAGTCTCTTATTTACCCGGTACTTATTTCAAAAAGGTTCTATAGTAAAGTTAAGTTTGCTAGCTGTAAATTGATTTTTAAAATTTCTTATATTAAATAATTTTATAGGAATTAAAAAATCGTAATTTAATTCGTTTACCCGTACCTTCCTTAAACCCAAAGTTATAGGGTATATAAAAGAAGGTAAGAACGACCGGCTAAGGTAAGAGTAATTAATTAAAATAAAAGCGATTAATTAAAGTAAGTATAACCGTATATAGGGTCGTTTAGTAGGATTCTTATAGAGGGTTATATACCTATAGCCGGGTCTGCGACCGTATATAAAATTACTTAATAGGATTTTTATAGAGGGTTATACGTTTATAACCGTCTACAATTATATATAGGGGGGTTCTTATAAAGGGTTATATACTTATAGCCGGGTTTGCAATTATATATAGAGTTACTTAATAGGATTCTTATAGAAAGTTATATATTTATAGCCGTCTACGACCGTATATAGGAGGGTTCTTATAGAAGGTTATATACCTATAGCCGGGTTTGTAACTATATATAGAATTGCTTAGTAGGATTCTTATAGAAGGTTATATACTTATAGCTGGGTTTGCAACTATATATAAGGTTACTTAATAGGATTCTTATAGAGGGTTATATACTTGTAGTTGGGTTTATAATTATATATACGGTTATTTAGTAGGATTCTTATAAAGGGTTATACGCTTATAGCCGTCTACGATTATATATAAGGAGGTTCTTATAAAGGGTTATATATTTATAATTAAGTATATAATTGTATATAGAATTAAAGTACTATTATAAAAGAATTATTTAGTGTTAGGAACGTAGGCGAAAGGTAGGCTGAGGTAACTACGGTCGTGGCTATACGTAAGGGATAGTAAGTTAGGGGTTAATTTAAAAATATATTAATAATTATTAATTATAATGAACTATATTCTATTGAACCTCTTTTATACCTATATAAATTCTATTTATTTATTAATAAGTATTATAGAATTCTATACTAGTTTAGCGCTTCAGTATAGTACTAGATTATTTTTCTTACGAGCCCGACCCGATATAGGCGTTATTATTAGTAATTCTACGCGTTAGTTAACGAAGGGGAGTAGTAGCTATTAAAGTATTTTTATATACGAGTTTTGAGCCTCCTAATACGACCCCCCCCTTTATAGGTTCCGTCCTCGGAACTTTTACAATTTATAATAAATTCCGGTTAAGTAGTGGAGGGCGTTAGTATTATATTATTATAACGTTATTAAATTGCATTGCCGGCGAAGGTATAATATTCTTACCCCTTAGTTCGGACGAATTATTATTCGTAATAGCCACCGACGCTATATTCCGGATATTATAACTACTTTACTACCGGCGAATTGCCCGCTAGAATATTAGCCTTATAATATCCTTTCTTTTAAACTTTAAATATAAATACGAAGCCGCCTACTTGAATATTAGTATTATAATGTTTATTCTCCCGAATTCTAAATATAGATACGAAGCCGGCCGCTAAAATATTAGTATTATAATGTTTATTTTTATAAGCCCCCTAATGTAGCGAGCCGCCCGCTAGAATATTAATATTGTAGTATTTATTCTTACGAGTTCTAAATGTAGATACGAAGCTAGCTGCTAGAATATTAGTATTGTAATATCTATTCTTATAAATTCTAGCACGGATATAAAATTAATATTAGATTTAAAGCGTTAGTGTGTGTTAGGAACGTAGGCGAAAAGTAGGCTGAGGTAACTACGGTCGTGGCTATATGTAGGGGACGGTAAGTTAGGGGTTAATTTAAAGATATATTGATAGTTACCGATTATAATAAAATACGTTCCGTTAAACCTTTTTTATACCTGTGTAAATTCTATTTATCCGCTAACGAGTATTATAAAGTTTTATATTAATTTAGCGTTTCGGTGTAGTGCCGGATTATCCTTCCTACGAGTTTAACCTAATATAAATATTATTATAAATAATCCTATACTTTAATTAATAAAGGGGAGTAGTAGTTATTAAGGTATTTCTATATATAGGTTTTTAGTTTTCTAATATAACCCCCCCCCTTATAAGTTCCGTCCTTAGAACTTTTATAATAAACGCCGGGTACTATAATATTATTGAGCGTTATTTACTATAGCCGCTAACGCTATATTCTAGATTATAGCCGTTTTGCTATTGGCGAGCCGCCTACTAGAATATTAGTATTATAATATTTATTCTTATAAATTCTAATACGGCCCTAAAGTTGGTATTAGGTTTAAAGAGCTAGCGTTCTGCTTACTAAAATATTGGTATTATAATATTTATTCTTATAAATTTTAATACGGATACGAAACTGGTATTAGATTTAAAGTGTTAGCGTACTACTTATTAGAATATTAGTATTATAATATCTATTTTTATAAATTTTAATGCGGATATAAAACCGGTATTAAATTTAAAGTGTTGGTGTACCGCCCGTTAGAATATTGGTATTATAATATCTATTCTTATAAATTCTAATACGGATATAAAACCGGTATTAGATTTAAAGTGTTAGCGTACCGCCCGTTAGAATATTAATATTGTAATATCTATTCTTATAAATTCCAATGCGGATACGAAATTAGTATTAGATTTAAAGCGTTAGTAGGGTTCCCGATTATTACTAAAATTATTATTCTATAGGCATATAAGGTAGTAAATTTTATTTTGCCTAATAAGGAGTATTATTTTAAATTTAAGAATATTAATAAGTACTTTAAAATATTAATATAATTACGCCCCGTAATTCCTCTCCTTAGATATTCTCCATTATTTATATTTGTAGTACGGTTTAATACTTTTGTAGGGTACTTTTTATTATTTATACTTATTTCGGAATATTTATATAATTGAAACCCGAGGCTCCTCTTGTAGGCTATTCTCTATTATTTATATTTATTATAATTTATTGTAATATTTAGATATAATCCCCCTCCTTATAGGTTCCGTCCTTAGGACTTTTATTTCCATTCCTTACTTCTTATAATTCTATATACTATTTCCTTTATAAACCTCCTTTACTTATATTATTCCTTCCTTATTACTTTCCTATTACCCTTACTTTATTCTTCGTA